ATATATATATATATATATTTATATATATATATTATTTTTATATATATATATATATATATATTTTTTTAACGTCGCAGTTTTTCACGATGAGTTACTCGGTTATGATAGTTATTACAAGTGGAATGACATAAATCGAAATGAAATGATGATCGATATAAACTAGAGTGAATTCAATCTCTCATCGACAACTCTCTAACAACGGTACGACTTATATTTTCAAACGGCAGAGATGATTTTTCCAAAATATATACAAAATGAAATTCCAAAATATATACAATCTCGCAAAAACAACGCACGATCGAGTTTAATTATAGACACAGATTATATTTATAGTTTCTAAAAATCAAATAGAAACATTGAAAAACTATCTTTTCGCTGTCTAATAAAAATTAAAACGGAAAATGCTCAAAAAAACAACAACAGAAAATCAACTATTTGCCCGTACGAGGGATTAAACAACGAAAGAGTTAAAATTCATACGTGACGAGGAAACAAGAGACCAGAGATGTCGTTAATATGTATGTACGCACGCAACGAAAGTATAACGAAAATATAACGAAAATTGCAAAGAGCTAAATCTTCGTAGAAATGTAATCAGAAAGCAACTCACGGCTGCTGCTTGTTGCTGCTGCAAAGCGAGATGTTGCTTGGCAAGGAGATCGGCTTGTGCATTGATAGGGGGTGGATATCCGGTAGCCGTTCCGTCGTACGGCGGCGGCGGTAGCATCATCGGCACCAACGGTGGTTGAAGATTCATGGCAGCGAGAGCGGGAACGTTCAATCCAAGGGGTAAACCCATCATGCCCATCATCAGTCCAGGATACTGTTGAAGCTGCTGCTGCAGTTGAGACGCAGCCATCGCGTTTAAAGCGGCTTGCATCTCTGTCATCTGTTGCGCGAGTGTCAACTGAGCGTGCTGTTGCTGTTGTTGCTGTTGCTGCTGCTGTTGCTGTTGTTGTTGCTGCTGCTGCTGTTGAATATGAAGCTGAGGATTGGTCGACAACACGGTTGGAGTTGTAGAATCGGTGCTTGACACTGGCGTGTTGCTCAACGCCGGAGTTGTTGCCGGCGTGGTGGAAGTAGCCTCCGGGGTCTTGCTGACTCGATCTTTGCTCTCGTTCATATCCTCCTTGTCCTTCTCGCGTTGTTCCTTGTCCGAGGAGAGATCCTGCGGCTGGCTGGAGGCCGGTGTCGAGCTTCTGGGTCCGGACGACGTGGAAGAAGACGTCGCGACAGTCACCACGACGCTCTTCTTCTCGTACTCACATTTAAATTGCTGGGCGTACTTCTCCAAGAACTCGCGCGGCACCAAGTCACGATGCACCTCCTCGCAATGAGCTTTCAACACCCAAACGCTGCTGAATTCCTTGTTACAATGCTGACAAGTGCTCCTGGTTAGCTCCGGTATGACGTCGTCGTCGGTGTGCTCCTCCGCCTCTTCCTCCCTTTCGCGCGCCGCCTGAGCAGCCAGCGCTTGCTTCTGCTGCTCCTGTTTCTGTTGCTCCTGCTGCGCTTGAAGCGCGGCCGCAGCCTCCTCCTCTTTGCGCTGGCGTCGTTGATGGTTCTCGTTGAATTGCATCACCAGATCGAAACCGAAACTCTCCAGAAGATGTTTGTACATCTGCGAGGTCTTGTGGCGAGGCTGAGACAGAATGTCCTGCGTCGTTTGCGAGGAATGTTGCGTGGCTTGTTGCAAGTGCTGTTGCGGGCCGGGCGTTGTAGACGTTGGCGGCGGAGTTTTGGCTGGAGTGGACGCGAGCTGCTGAGACGCCGCCAGCTGTTGAAACAACGCCAACGGATTGCTGAATATACAGTAGAGTTGCTGATGGGTGGCGAGCTGTTCCTGATTGACGAAGAAGGCGTTGCAACGGGGACAGGACAACATCGTCCCGCTGTTTCCAGAGGTGCTGCTGGTGTTCACCGGTGGACTGTTCGGGCTGCTTGGCGGCGGTTGTTCGATCAACGGACGAGCGAGATCTAGCTGGCCACTGGCAGCGAGATCCGGCAGTTTACTGGCCCTAGTCTGATGCAGCACGCTCCTCATGTGAATGTCCAACGTGCTGCCTTGCGAATAGGCCACCTTGCAGATGTTGCACTTGTATGGCTTCTTGTCCTGGTCTTGCTGAGAATCGGGCGACTCTGTGGGACTGGCGGGTGGCATCACGGAGATGAGCGTGTTGTTGTTACCCTGCTCCTGCATCGCTCTTTTCAGCTTGTGCAGGTGGCTCACGCTGTTGTAATGAACCAACAGGATGTTCTTCTGGGTGAAACTCTCCTTGCAAACGTCGCACTTGTACGGTCTATTGGGGTCTAGATATTTCTCCATTGGATAGGACATCTTCTCGCCTTTGCGATGGAGCAGAGTTTTGTTATGCCCGGTCAAGTAACTTTGCCTGGTGAACGCGACTTTGCAACGATGACACTTGAACTTTCTTCCCGGATCGTGATACGAATCTTCGGCGACCGGTTGACTGTTGAGATAGTCCTCCAGGAGACGCTGTTCTTTGTGCAACGGCGACGAGTCGCTCGCGTCGCTCTCCTCTTCTTCCGCTTTGCTAGCGTCATCGTCCACGTTCTGCTCGCCGATCAAGCTGCCCTGCCTACGCAGGGCTTCCTCCGTGAGCGCCTGAAGAAGCGGATGAGCGTGTATCAGGCTCTGCTTGTACTGTGCCAGCTCGTCCTCGTGGAGGTCCGCGTGCGCTGACTCCAGGTGTCTTTGGAGCGCTTGCACCGAGCGAAACGATCTTCCGCAAAGCGCGCATTTCGTCGCGTCCCGGATCGCGTGGTACTGCGAGTGCTGTTGCAGCTTCTCCAGAGTTTTGAACGCCAGGCTGCACTGTCCGCACCGATACTTGTAAACGTGTTTCTCGCTGACGGCGAGCGTGGGCGTAGTGGCCGGATGGGTCTCCCTATGATGTTGTTGGAGTTCCTCCAACGAGCGGCACACGCGGCCGCATACGGTGCATCTGGTGATCTCGTCGATCTCCTCGTTGGCCCCGCGCTCGCTCATATCCTCCTCCTGTTGTTGTTTCGCCGTGGTAGTCGGCGACGAGGGCATAGGCACCATCGGCGTTGAGCTATTTCGCGGATTGTTGTTCAGCCAGTGGCTTTGGTCCACCAGCAACAGCAGCCGTTGTAAACCGTCCGCGTTCACTGAGTGGATTTGCATCACGTGTTTCTCGAGCGCGGAACGCTCTTTGAAGCCGTCCTGGCAGAGCGGGCACAACAATTCCGGCGGCGGCTCTTCCTTCACCGCCTCCGCTTTGTCCTCGGCATCCTGGACATGAGCCACTTGCAAATGCTGCCTCAATTCTTCGCGCGACGTCGGTTGATAAGTGCAATAAGGGCAGGTAACTTCCTCGTGCTCGTTATCCGGCTCTTGTTCCGGCTCCTGATCGTTATCCGGTTCTTGCTTCACCTCGCTGCCGCAGTCACTGCCTTCCTCTCGTCGTTCTGCGAAGAAAAAAGAGAAAAAGAAAAGAAGAACGGTAACACGGATTTTTCGCTCGAAAAGTTAAGACGTTACGCGTGCAGCGTGACGTTCGGTATTATTTTATCAATGTGTTACAAATCTCGACTGGTCTGACGTCGATCCGATCGCTCGTGAGATGATTTTTATTAAATTAAAGAATCGCAGCTGGTACCATTTGGCGAACATTTTGTAGAATTTTTAGTGTTAATTTCTGCGTCTTTAAAATTGCGTGCGAACGTCCTTGGTCTATCGATGGGTATCAATCCTTCGACGCACGAATTTTTCCTCTATATTCGGTTTATTAGCGAAGACGTTGATACATAATCGAAACGAAATATGAGAAAAACGACAAATGGACGATACGACAGTACATCAGTCGAGATTGTTATTAAATATTTATGAAATTTGCGATCGACGATTAACGGAGGTTGTTGAAATATTTGCTTTCGTCGCGCCAAAATCACGCGAGAAGTTTCGGCACTAGCTTATTAATTTTAATTTGAATTGGTAACTACGACGGATCGGGTATTTACAAAATACATCAGCGTCGAACAACGTCGGCAATCCAATTGGAAACCTGGTTAGAACTTAAAGTTGTTTTGAAACCACCTTGTCGATTTAATTAACAATCGATCGTTTTCATCTTGCCAATTTTATAAGGCAACGTCTCGAATACGTAAAGCATCGAGTGTTCCGCACGATGAAAACCGGAAATCACCGGATGGGGAACACACCGTGCAATTGGGCCGCATTAACGTTAACAGTTTTGATTCGTGCAACATAAATTCCTCGCGCCTTAATATCACGATTACTATCTACCGATAACGCGAACGTGTAATTCACCTTTCTATTAAGGCGCCGATAAATCGTCGATCGACATCGAAAATCTCAACAGCCGAAAAAAAAAAAAATAACCATTAATCTTGCAGCTGCATGCGAGACAGAGGTTTAAGTCGATAATGTTGCTGCGAGAGAAAGTAAATTATGTACGACGGCAGCGAAAGCATTTCGTCCAGTAACGCCCGATTCTCTTGTTCGATGTTACATTCTATTAAAATTGGCTTCATTGCTCGTTTTTTAGTCGAATTTTTACACGTCGGTGTCTCGTAAAATCGAGGATTGGCCTGTTGCAGTAAATCATCGTGTAATGGAAGCAATCCATGATCAGAGACACAAGAATAATTCGACGTTTAACGTCTGTTCAACTCAGTTTACAAATTTCTGTTTCGTAAATTATACATAAAAGTATCTTTAATCTCTTTTCTTGTCGGAGAATTATCTCAGAAGTAGACTCTTCACATAATTTATCCTCACGTTACTATATCACATTCAATCATATATGTTTCAGTATATATATATAGGTTGATCAAGTATGATCAATCAACTAGTTGATATAATTTATCAAAAATTCAAACTAATATTTTTCAAAGGTTATAAAATTCAACTAAAATCGCCAAAATTCATTATAACGATCAACGCAATTGTAAATGATCAATCAGTAACAAAAGAAGAAATCTCCACGAATTTCAATAAATTCGTAAATTCCTCAAAGAAAGAAAGAAAAAAAAACCAATAATTAATCGAGCACTCATAAATCGCTCAAGACTCGTAGAATTTAAACCAATATTTTCCAAATTCCAATGTTACAAAATTCAATTAAAATCGTCAGTTATATCGGCACAACCATAAATGATTAATCAATGACAAAAGAAGAAATTTCCACGAATTTCAATAAATTCGTAAATTCCTCAAAGAAAGAAAGAAAAAAACACCAATCATTAATCGAGCACTCATAAATCACTCAAGACTCGTAGAATTTAAACCAATATTTTCCAAATTCCAATGTTACAAAATTCAATTAAAATCGTCAGTTATATCGGCACAACCATAAATGATTAATCAATGACAAAAGAAGAAATTTCCACGAATTTTCAAGATTGAATTTTACCGTCAACTTATCAAATAAGAAAAATGAAACCAATCTTTGATCAGGCGCTATAAAATCATATAACCAGCGAAGCTCAAGTGATATAGTCTCATCACGGCGGGGATATATGTTCGGAAAAGTAACAGACTTGTTTTCGGCGGGGAACAATCGATGAAAGTCAAGCGTTACGTGAAAGAGCTTCGGTAGCGACGAAAAGCATCGAGGGTGGATCACGTCACGATGGTGTGCAGACGCCACAGATGCTTCCTTGCCCGACCGTGCAACAATACCACTTGAAATTACAGATTGCCGACGCGAAATTATCGGCGGGTCGTTTCTTCGAGGGGAGGAGAAAGAAAAAAAGAGAAAAGAAAAAAAAAACCGCCTCCCTTGTAGGGAGAAAGCGAGACGCGGAATAAAGGGGAAGACCGCCTATTCGCGTGGTCTGCCATTGTCCGAAACCGCATTTATATCGAACGAGCGTCAGTTGCGAGAGCTCGAAACGCGACGATGCAACGCGTGCTACTAGTTCTCGCTTTGTTACGCGTTGCCCGCGAGCGATACATATCCGCGCGATTTCGCGTCTCTTCTCGGGCAAGAATTTCCGAGAATATGCAGTTAATACTGCATCTAAAGGCCGAGAATTTATTATCGTCAAAATTTAGGGAAAGTTATCAAATCATGGTAAATGACAGCGAGGGAGACAAGTTACCACACTCTCAACCGGACTTGTCATTTTTGTACCTTTTTGTAGATCACGGATTCGATATGTTTGAGAATATAAGCAAATATTTTTTTGAGAAAATTTGTTAAAATTTTTTGACATTTACATACTAAATGAAAAAAAGTTACAGGAAGCAGCGCATGTTTTCTGCGCATTCTCTCAAAATATTCTATAAATCCATGCAAATCCATAATTGACTGATGTCCTTTCATGTTCAAAGAATTTTCAAAGAATTTTCTTAATCATGTCATCAATTTTATAATCTATATCTAAAAGAAAAATTTACTCGTTGTTACCGAAAAGTTCTCGTAAAACGTCCGATGACAACGAAGCTCGTAGAGAAGTTATTGCACTGTGACAACATGGAACTACGAAAACTCTAGAATTATAGCTCGAATACCTTCTTGTACATTTATATAAATACAGGCTGTCGATGTAATAATACTCAGCATTGTGCGTGCTGAAGCACACGCCATTGCCATATGTCACGCAAAATTCCCGCCAGTGCACGCTAATTACGCGATAATCAATGAAAATATTGAGTTCGTTAAAAGAGAAGCACTCCGCCGATGAACACGCGAGTGTTCCTCGTGTTTGTTCTTTTAAAAGCGATTTGACAGATGCGAATCATACGTTCGTTTGTTCTCTCAGGTGGAACACGTGATTATATTATGTGTGTTCTCCTGAACATTTTTTCGGTAAGTTGATCAAACTCGTTATTCTCAATTGTTGTTTTACTTGTAAATTGCATTTAGGGAAAAACATTACAGTTCATGTGATATTTAAAGATAATTACCGCAGAGAGATGAAAACGATCAACGTGTATTCAAAGAAACTAATTATGACAGAAGAATGGATCAAATAATTATTTAAACAAAACAGTTTCATTTGTTTTTCATTTTCTGATCTTTTTTAACTTCATACAAGTATCAAAATAATCCGTATTGTTATATGAACTCAAGCTGCTTTATAAAACTCTCTAGCACTGTGTCTGACCACGTATGGCATTATCTCCTGTCTGACAAAATTAAGTGCTAGCAGCACTCTTTTCCGATAAGTGTGCAATTCTAAATACCTCACGTTGTTTCAACAACAAATAATAATAAATCTGTGTCTGAAAAGCTACCACATTCCGAAATATAATTTCTCGAATGATAAATTAAATGTCTGATCGCATCTTTTTTAACGAATGTAACATCGAATATTCTATACTGTCTCAACAGTATCGAGACTCGAGATTGTAAAATAATAATGCAAATGCGAGAAGCAATTATTGCGCAATGGCAAAACGATTAATGTACTAAGTATTACAAATTATTTATACATTAGTAATTTATGAGCATTGATGACGTAAAGCAACGAAAGAGAAAACAAAAAAAGTTACGAACAGCTTTATTATCTAAGTAACATTTAAATTTTCCGCAAAGTGGAAACATTCTTCGCCCTATGTATAATTTTCGTCTCGAAAGTATCATGTTCTACTCACCACTATTGGCACTGGTAGCATTCGGCATGGTTGGTGTGGTGGGACTAGGCTGTTGCGCGGGCGGAGCGTCCGGGTCGCTCATCACTTGGAAAACGTCGCCAATGTCGGTGTGCGGCGTCTCGTTCCCCTGGATGCCGCTTCGCCGATGAAGCTGGTGCAACTGTTCCATCTGAAGATGTCTGAGCGATCGAACGTGTTGCAGCAGGGGCAATCGGTGTCTCGCGCTGAAGCCGCACAACGCGCAGTGGTAGAGTTTGGCCTGCGAGAGTACGTTGGCGCTGGCCTCGAGCAAGTGACGGAGAAGAAGCGCCGCGGCCTCGTGCCTCGGCGACGCGGCGTGCAGGGCCAATTTGTGAGCGCTGTTCGTGTAATAGTCGCACGCGTGGCAACGTAATTGCGCGGCGCTCGTGGGCGAGGCCAGGTACTTGAGCTTCCACTCGTTTCGAAGCCCGCCTTCCTTCACGTGGTTCACGTGTTGCAGACGTTGCAAGTGCTTGTCGGTCTTGCAGTGCAGTTGGAAATTGGCCTTCAGGTTGGTCTTGTAGGAACAAAGTTTGCAGACAAAGTGGCCGGCTACCAACGCCAAGATCTCCCCCTCCCGCGTTCTCGTTCTGTCCACGGCCAGATGGTGGCCGAGAGCCTCTAACGAATCAGTGGCGAAATTGTTGCACACGCAGCAATGATAGAGATGAGAGGGATCGGGATCGGCCGGCTCGGGTGGCGGATCCATGCTGTCCGGTGACAAACCAACGTCACCGCCGAGATTCCCCATAGCACCCATACTGGCCATACCGCCCATAATCTCCGGCGGTAACTGCGGCGGTAACTGACCGCCGGTCATCATCTGAATCAATAATGCCTGATTGTAGGCCATGTCCGCGAGAGCGGCCTCCGCGTGCTGAGGCTTGTCCAGCCCGCCGAGGTGAAGCAGCTGCTCGAGTTGCTGCTGGTGTTGCTGTTGCGCTTGTTGGTGGTGATGCTGGGCCTGCTGATGGTGAGACTGGAGCGCGGTCAGTGTCTGCATGTGTTTGACGTTCTGCTGCAGAACCAGCATGTTGTGCGTGTGCTTCTCGCTGGTCATGTGTATCCTCAGGTTACGAGCGACGTTCGTCTCGTAGTTGCAGACGTCGCAGCGAAACGTCGGCTTCGGCTTCCCTTGGCTCCCGGCCTGGCCAGCGATGTGCGGACTGTGGTTTTGCTGATGATGGGGGCTTCTCGTTGGCATCGGCGCGTCCTGCGACGACGACGGATTGCTCGCTGCCGAGCCACCGCCGCCACCCTGTTGGAGCTCTTGCATGTTATTCAAATGTTTGTCGCTTTGCATGTGAATGCTGAGATTACCCTTCGTCGTGGTGGAGTAGTTGCATACTTCGCATCTGTACGGCTTGTACCCGCAGGTGTATGTCTCGCCGCGCGCTAACCTCGGATGCGGTTGTCCGGCGATGCAGTAAATGCAAGAGGTTTCGCTCTCGGGATGCTTCTCCTTCATGTGAATCTCCAGAGTCTCTTGGTACTTGTAGTGCCAGTTGCATTTCGGACACTTGAGCGTTTTGCACGAGTTTCTGCTATGGATGCCGGCCAAAGGCCCGCCCGGACCGGCCAGTCTGCTGCTGGCTAAGATCAGTTCGCACTTGGGGCACTCGACACCGCTGGGTCTTCCCTGCATGTGCTCGGGACAGACACCGATCGTTGTGCCTGTGAGGAAATTCGGCGGTTGCTGGGTCAACGCTGCGTACGAGGACGGCGAGCCTTTAGTCGACGAGGCGGATGGCGGCGGTGACGTGTAGTGTATGCTGGAAGCGTCAGGCGCCTTTGCCCAAGAGGCGGCGCTCACCTGGCCACCGGTCCACTGATGCTGCTGCGTCTGTTGATGATTGTACGCGAGGGGATGATTCGAGTGAGACGTGGGAGTGGTGGGTGTGCTGGGTGACGGCCTCTGCGGTTGTTGCTGTTGTTGTTGTTGCTGTTGCGGGCTGCTCGGTACTCCGGGAGTGCTGGCGGGCGTGCTGGTCGTGGTCGGTGTCTCGTGATCGAGATTGGACTCGGTACGCGGCTGTTGCTGTTGCTGCTGCTGTTGCTGGCTCTGCATCTGCACGGGCGACGGTTGCGGGCAAGTGGAACTCGTCACCGGCTCGAGAAAACTGACCAGCGGTTGTTTGCCTCTGCCTACCGCCTGAATGATCGCCGACGCGGTCGCGTGTGAGAGTATCTGTCGTTCGTCCTCCATCAAAGTGAGCTGATGTTCGCCCTGAGCGTGTGCCACGAAACTCTTCGCGTAGCCGAAACTAAGTTTGCATATGAAACACATGAGGATAGGCTTGACCGGCACCGAGGCGGCTGGAGGTGGCGGCGCGGCAGGAGGCGGCGGCGGTTGTTTGCTACCCTCGGCGCTTCTGTAACTGATCACCCGATAGCTGTGCATCACAGGAAGATCGGGATTGTGCTGCTGCGCCGCCGTTGTACGTTGCTGTTGCTGCTGCTGCTGTTGCTGGTACGCCTGGTGCGCGTACAATCGCGACACGTAATACGCGCTCGCGATCTGAGGAAACACCAGCGAATGAGGAACCGAGACACCGCGCCCGTCTACGATGCAACCGTCCGGCAGCGAGTCGTCCTCGCTCAGCTCGCTCTCTCCCTCGATAATGTACGCCGATCCGTCCGGATTGTAAACGATCTTCCCGTCGAATTTTTCCACGTCGCCTCCCGTTGGACTCGGACTGGGGCTCGGACCTTGTTGTTCTTGCTGTTGCTGTTGCTGGCCCTGCGACTGCATGGTCATGGTAGTGGTGGTGGTGGTTGTCGTGGTGTCGACGATCGGTGTAGGCGTTGGTATGGCATCGCGGGTGCAGGGTTCTGTGCCCGAGGGTGGACTGGCTGTCCGGGGGTGATGGGGCTGATGTAACGCAGCTCCCGCTGCCGGGGGGGACCCGCCCCCTCGACCCCCCTCCTCCTCCGGGCTCATCTCCTGCTTTTGCTGCGTGTACGTGGAATTTTGAAAGGGGCCGCCGTGTTGCTGCTGTCTCTGCTGCTGCTGCTGTTGCTGTTGTTGTTGCTGCTGCTGCTGCTGTTGATGGGCGGCCACCAGCTGTTGGTAGAGCTGATGTTGCCCGATCGCTGTCGACGTGTGTTGCTGAAGATGCGAGGGAGGAATGTTGTGGTGCTGAAGATGGTACTGGGGGGGATGAGGCTCACTGGAGGGCATCACCCCAAACGTGAGGCGGGCGCCAGCCTCACATCACCTACCGCGCCTGCGCCTACGCTCTCTCGACTTCCTCTTCTTCTTCTTCTTCTCCTACCGTACGTCGCGCTCCCCACCCCCTTCGCTCGCTCTCTCTCCGTTCTAATCTCTTCTCCACCACTGACAGATACTTCTTTGCTAGCTACCCCGACGCAACCCCAGGTCGTACCTGCAACAAACCAGAGAAATTTCTTGTTTAGTTGAAACGTCATTCGGCAGATATTATTATTATTCTACACGATTGTCGATTCGTCGTTGTACATTTTGAGAGTATATCTACGAGTTCCAGCGAGAACTAAATTACGCCGCCAGGTGTTTCGAGGATACGGCACGAACGAGCAGGGTGGCGAGTAGTCCAGCTCGCAGTCGAAACCGGGAATGATTTCGCGAAGAAATATCACGAGATGGTTCTAGCCTGGTTAATCCAGGCAAACAGAGGCGGCCTGAAGGACAGTGGAGAGATAGCGAAATACGTGGAAAACGTCGGCAAGCTGCGTGTACAGAGGATCAAGTCGGCGATTGCGAGCACACAAAGCGGAAGGAGACTCGACTACGGGCGACACAAGGCACCCTGTGTGTTCGGATTACCTGAACCCTACTCTGGGTGGACCCAGCTGTATTTACAGCCAAGCGTCCGTCAAGCTTATCTATCGATCGAGCATCGACGTTGTCTCTCTCTCTCTCTCTCTCTCTTTCTTTCATTACTACACACGCAAGACGTAGGAAACTGTAACGGAAAAGAAATCGGCTGCCGATCGTGAATGGCCGCTCTTGTGCGATTAAAACGTTCCTTCTCCTAGCGCGTGTCCCAGATTCTCTCCCCTATTTCTAGCAATGAAGGGACAATCTATCCGCTACAGTAAACAAACGCGCAACGCGCATAGATCCGTAAAGATCGCGCATAATGTATGTTTTGCAAGATTCTACTGTTCCCTTGCTCCTCCGTTCGAATTTCGAACCGTGAGATACCGCCTTCGGAATCGGACATCGCCGTGCAAGACCGGAGAGTCTGCGCGGATTCGAGAGATTATACGCGCGCGGATTCCTCGAGGCAACGACGAGGCAACGCGTCTAATCATCCCAGTCCCAATTACGCCGGCTCGCGGTGATCGCGGTGGTTCAAAAGAGGTAGAGGCCTCGCGAGTATTCGCGGAATCTAACGGATGGGATTGAAGGGGAGAAGGGCGTGCTGAGCGCAGCGCGGGGGTGTAGATCGCGGCGTGACGGAGCCGAGGGATTCACTCGTGGAAACAGCTACCCGGAGGAATTCTTCTTTTCCACTCTTAGTCGACCAACCACCTTTCTCGTTCTCCTTTCTCGTTCCGTTCCGCAGACACGCCGCTGGACATCGTGATACATAG